CACCACCAGATTGGAATTCCTTAATTTTCCTAAATTTCAGTCTTGAAGCAGCATGGCCCGTCTATGACTCCACTGTAAGTCATCAGACAGATATTCCAATTTGGAATGAAATTTACGCAATCGTCGTCAATGGCTTCTTGTTGTCGGCCTCTATCAAGATTGCCTGGATGAGCGCATGGTAATGTAGGCACCTTGGAATAACTGTGCTAGGCTGGCATCCATCCTATCGACCTCTACTCATTTCTTCGCAATAAGCCCTCTAAATAAATCAAGGTTGTACGGCAGCGAAGCACCAGTATTGAACATTGATGCTAGGGTATCGATTACGGTGATAGTAACTTAACGAGAGGAAAGAATGTCAGAGTTTTCATAAGAGCGAGCAATTTTCTTTTTGGAGGTAGCTCCCTTTGAGTTGGGCTATTTTGTTCTTCCAATCTCCTTAATCCAGCAAGACATTCTAAGTTGTAACAGCAACTAATATTTCGTTTGACACTGCAGCACACACGCTGCACTTGACACATTCACTTTTTCAAGTTCGCACAATTGTGACTACAAAAATACCTTTCTGGTTCATGAGGAGATCCTAATGTCACCGACCGTAAACATAGTGTATAAGTGGATGGAAATCATTTTAACTGTGAGCGAAGTAACATGGAGATTAAGTGTCCAAGTATGCCGAAGGAATGCTGGAAACAAAGTGATATACAGTGATTGGTTCCTTTGACTTTGTAAGTCAGTAAACCTAATAGCGAACAACAGATTAGAAACAGTCATCCGAAAGCAAAATTCGCAGTGGCCATCTCCTAAACCGACAGAAATAGTCGATAATTTAGTAATGGAGTGAAATAAGCAATTTGCGTCGACACGATCGGAAACTTAAATGGTGTAGTTCAAGCTGATAAAACTGCTTATAGGTGGGCGAACGGTTTTAACAGGGGAGCCTTTTGATAAGTTGTAATGAACAAAAGGTCACTGAATCATCGAGATTTACTTTGTTACGGACATCCCCGTCTTGGACCTGCAAAACTTAGAGGGGAAACAGCCGTAGACACTTAGCAAACCAGGTGGTAGACAGGCTGTGTTGTCTGTGGAATTAAAACCATCTAGCCATTAGGGTGCTATCGACCTTCAAACGGTAAGAGGAATGCGACTTGAACTGAACAGTAGCTCGATGACGAAAACTTGTGATCCACTTTCGATTTCGTGATGCTGCGATCACTCTGTTCGTACTTTCTACATGGAGTCTTTTCTTGTAAGTTCACCCGCGTATGATGAAAAATAAATTTCTTGTAAACTGGCGGCTACCTAATGCAAGTATTAGCCTGGTGTGGCACACTTAGCTCCTCCAGGAAAGAAAATCCAGCCTTGTCATTGAGTTCCATGGAAATGCACAAAGAGCACATCGAACAGTACTGCTGTTTTGTTTTAGTATATTTACAACCAAGAACAGCGACAAGAAGAGAGCGATCAATCATAAACTAACAAGTAGCCTTTTTCATGAAGGAAACTACTCACAAGGTTGCTGAAAAACTCTTCGACAGCAACCTTGTGAGTAGTCTTTATGAAAATATACTGCGATATCTCGAATATCGTAATAACTGAAACATGAGGTGGCCTTGGCGCAGCATATTCAGTTGAAAAACATCCCAAACGAGAGGTTCACTTGAATCTTCCGGGAAAACTAAGTTGATTTGCAAATGGGTGTGTCTATCGCAACAAGCAACCTTGTTCACCAGCTCTTAATTCACATGACTGAATTGGTGCTGCATCCATGTAATTGGGCCCACCTGCGCATCACACCTATGAACGTCCGCTGCTCGAAACTACAAGCTGTAGCTGTGATCCAGGTGTGACCAAAAGGCAAACGAGTTGACGTGTAAAAGGTCGACAGAGTAACCGTACAGCCGCATACATCATTGGGAAACGATGACTCGCGGAACCCGATCGGATACCACATGACGGTGTGATTTTACTCTATTGGTTACAAAGTTTGAAGACTTACTGCTTAGCACTGTGTCGAATTAAACAGACTCCTTTGTACAACGCCGCAAAGTAGTGCAACCAAAAAACATAGATACCTTGACGACGGTAATCAAAGCGTGCTACACGAAAATCCCCTCAAAAGAAGCCCCGATAAAATGAGGTTACATTCTGGGGACACCAAGTTACCTCCTTCCTGGTGAGGAGATTCATTCTGAGCATCACTGTCTGTTGCAAAACACAACAAATGCACACCGTCATATTGCATACTTCGTGGCTGTACTTGGGCTAAGACACCTCCAGTCCACTCAAACCGAGAAGATGAGGATCCTAAACAAAATACTTAGTCTTAAGAGCTTGAAAGTAAGGCAGTTACAGATGATGAGACCTCTAAGACCACTTTTACGGGACAAATCGCTAAATTTGTTCTAATCCCAACCAGACGCAGTAACAATATTGTCAAGGATGCTATCAATTGAGAGAAAAATAAATTTCGCACTGAGAGAAAATACTGTGAAGCACTGATACATTAACAGATAGGAACCACACTTACCTGTATCATATACAACTGGGCGATGCGATATTCTGCAACTGTCAGAGGAAGACATATTCGGTACTCCTTTATGAGCATAGCAAGAAAATATCATTAGGTTGAGTTGGGCCACGAAGCGAAATGAGCACGCTTCAGTTTCGGAACATAGATCCTGCGGGGGGAATTGGATACAAGAGGGATAACCATTGTGGTCATCACGTACGATAAAATACCAGTAATTCTCACTGATACCCCATATCGTGGGACGATGAACAACTCTGGCGTTAAGAGCGTCACACAACCACAGGGGAATATGGTTCCAGTGAAGAGTGGACAGAAAGAGGAGTGGGGACAAAGTAAAACAATAACCGGTCATCTGTGACATCTTTTTCATGTCTGGTTGCCACGTCATTCAAAGAAATCATGCCTTTCAGGCCCAAAGAGAAGCAGTAGAAACGTCGAGATTGGTTTTGAATCACGAACTTTGCGGTCAGTAAGTTCGCACCCTAAACATTGAGCTATCTCGAGCTCGCATCGTCTATAACCCAGAATGAGATCACCGATTACCCAATCGAAAAAAGCTATCACGGTGAACATGAAGTTCCAGAGTACAAGCCATCATAAACCAGGATATTATTCCATATTTGCGGTAAGCAGTCGATTCACTAATAGATTCTAATGCTTCTGGGGTCGAAGCGGTCCTCCTGGGTCTGACGCCGTCGTATTGCAAACAACATCAAACCGTCTAAATAGTTGTCCTCATGGGTTGGCATGCGCTTCACACCTATAAATTGTACGGTGATACTGCAAGATTGGGTGGGCTCGAACCCTAAAATCATGCTTGCGGATGAACCGATTGAGCAAGTAGACAATTGCGTCTATCTGGGAAGGCGTATCAGTTCTTATGGTCTCGCGAAAGATGATAATTAAATCCAGACTGGAAGGCCGGAGCAGCTTTTGTGAAACCACATTGTCTGTGGCGTGGGCGTGACATCGGTTTATCCGTCAAGGGTCGAGTTTACAATGCTGTGGTGCACCCCATATTGCTATACAGATCAGCAACTCGGTCGACGAGCGCCGACATCAGAAGACTTCAAGTGTTTGACCGCCGATGTCATCGCAGCATCGTCCGAGTCTGATGGGAACACCGTATAAACTATGCTGAAGTACGTCCAGTCGTTTTCGGACGAAAGAACTCGTCCACGATAGATGAACAGTTCACATTCCATAGGTTGCGCTGGCTTGGCCACATTCTCCGTAAGCCAATAGACCAACTTTCTCGAAGGGCCTTTTCCGCACAACCATGCGAAGGGTGGAAACAAGCCAGGAGTACTCAAACAGTGCACCGGCAGTGAAGTATGAAAGCGATTACTTGCAAACTCAGCTGCACTGGGCATTGCCGTCTACATGAATGGGGAACCGGTACGGGACACATCAAGGGTTAGGGACGCTGTCAGACATGGCCCAGTCGAACCCTGAATGGCACTCGTGCATCCAATACAATGTGTAACTGCCTTTTTACTCTCCTCCAGTGACAATCCTGCATTAGCGTGTCAATTACATCAGTCTTACAGCTACCCACCCCACATCCGCAAATTATCGGTGAACGAAACTGTGGCGGCCATAGCCACTGAACGACAAGTACGCGGTCTCTAAAGTTGATAGTGATGATGATGACTGACGCACTCATCATCATCTTCACCATCATCGACAGAATGCCAACAATGTTCAACACCGGTGCTTCACTGCCGTACAACCATGACTTATTTGAAAGCCCTATTGTAAACAGAAGAGTAAAGGGGGAGGAAAGAGGGACTTAGTGCTAACTTAACACAATCATTCCGAGGTGCCTACACCTCCAGACGTTCACTCAGCCAATCTGGACAGAAACTGACAACAAGAACGCTATTGACATCGGTTGGAAGCCATATCTCGTAGTGTCTCCAACCAGGCACAGTGAGGATCACGCGGTCCCCATCCTGGAAGGCGAGTAACACCGACGGCACCCAAACGTTTCGTGATCTCCTTCATACTCCTCTACCAAGTCAAGGGTTAGCCACCTCTCTGTTTGCGCCACTCTGAGTTGGGCATGGAAAACAGTACTCTCTTCGGCAAACGATGGTTCGGCATACGTAACACATGTCCCAACCAACGCAGCTTTTGGTGCTGGACACATTCTTCAATAGAAGTACCCGTCACACAAACGAAAACACGCTTTCTAACTGCCTCGTTACGGATTCGCCGACACCAACCCACGCGAGCTATGGTTCTGAGACAACGATTGTCGAACACCTGAAGACGTCTCAGGTCCGCTGCTCGAATAGGCCAAGTCTCACAGCCACACAACAAAGCAGCCCGTACTGTAGCTAGATACACGAATCCCTTCAGATTCAGGGACAAACCATTCTGACGCCATGGGTACCTCAAATTAGTAAACGCGGCCCGAGCCTTGCAGATTCATGCATTCACCTCATCTGTCACACTACGATCAGGACTGATACAACTTCCAAGATACGTAAAACGCTCCACAACTTCCAGTACCTCTCCCCGGATTGTGAGTGGCTATAAGTTTAGGATGACAGAACCCTCAATTAATGAAAATCTAATGCAACAATGAATCGGTTAGCCGCCTGGGTGTAGGCCTACACTGTATAAGTCTACCCCAACTGAAATAAATCAGTTCAACACCTGATCACAAAATGGAGGAGTAAGTTACTACCCCGTGTCCGATACGTATACGCCAAACGCATCCCAACAAACCAACAGTCCAACAACAAAATTTATTTAGGTGGCCGCCCTTTACAAGCATTCTACGCCTTCCCAAACTCATTCACCACTTAAACCAATCCTTAGACTCACACACGAAATTTCTCCGCAAACATACCTTAAAAGGCGGAACTATTAGACGTGGCTGTTTTTATTCGAAACCCTAAAACCTCAGACTGTTGCAATTTACCTGAAGCTCGCATTAGCCCATAGTCCACCGCGGGCGAGAATTCGCATTCCTATTGGCTGCCATGGCTCAGCAGGGTCGCCCACTGGAGGTCTATTCCACCGAGGTCTATTCCACTGAAACTATGGTGATTTGGTAAGTTGCGAATTTTACAGGGAGTTATCCTAATCCGATTAGACATTTCAGTGGTATGTTGCTCATAGCATTTTGTTTAAGTGAGCGAACTTTCAAGGTTACTGATTCACAGATTCACGGATTGATACACAGGATCGAGGCTTTTGCCACAGTTTCCCGGGTCGGTTTTGTTCTTGTCGGTCAGTGTCTGCCGTTCACCTGAAAGGCACAAGTGGAAAAGGAAAGCAGCGCTGCTCTCTATGTTCTCATCGAGGGGCAGTATGCCTGACAGCATAAATAAATGTCTAATAGTGCTTTAAATTGGGTTCAAGAAGGAGCGTGGACAACCGTTGGAGGAAGGTCATTCCGCGCACCTACTATCCGAAATGAGAAGAGGTTTTGTCTGATGAATGTGTGCGCTCTGAGCGCGGCTACATCCATTGGAGGGCACTGGTATTAGAACTCCAGGATTTCAAGCCGTCCGCAAAAAGTAGACATGAACTTGCAAGAACGTCTGGGAGGTTGTTGAAGTATTTCGGAATTAGCAGTGATCCCAACACGGAGCCTTGAGGGACTCTAACGGGGACCGGCGCAGGAGATGGGTAGGTCGAGCCTATTTTCACCAGGAATGATTTGTTTGAGAGAGACGCCTTGATACAGTGTAGGATTTTTCCTTCAATTCCGCATGACACTATTTTTTGCAGCAGCAGGACAAATGGGACCCCATCAAGAGCATTTGAGAAGTCGAAAAACGTGGTATCCGATATAGGTTTCTTGTTCTTGGCTTGAGTTAGGCTGTCCACAAACACGAGCATGTTCTTCACATAAGAACGGCTTGGGAGAAATCATGATGAACTGGAGATATCAAGTTTTTGGAAGTTAGGTGATCTAGGATAGCCCCCTTCAGAAGGCGTTCCATCACCTTGCATAGCACGCTACTGAGGCTTGTAAGCCTGGAGCTGGCGTGAAAACCGCAACCTTCCAAGCATAATGAAGGTGGCCTTCGTCAAGCGACAGACGAAAAACCATGTAAAAATGATTTGCCAATGTAAACAAGATTTTCTTCAGGATCCTCGGGGGGACATCGTCAGGCCCCGAACGCGAAAAATGGATTGATCTTGTGCAAGAGTTCAGGAGTGTCCACCTTGTAGACCATGTCGGTAGAGACCATTAGTAGGTGAGCCTTGCCAGGACTGGATATGACGAGGACGTCCGGGCTGAATATAGGCCCGCAAAGTGTTCTGTGTAAACTTCAGATACCATTGTTGGTTCATTCGTGGGTACCCCGTTCCTGTCCCTCAAGGGGAACGCGGATGGCTTGTTTCTGCGGCGATGTTTGATGTAATTAAACGGCACATTTCTGTTTTTCCGAGCGATGTCCATAATGACGGCTTGCTTTCCTATGTTCACTCGGCGTACTTCTGATTTACAGCAGTTCTACATTTTATGAACTGCCAGTTCTCATTAATAGTTCACCGGTTACTCTACAACATCGTGTAGATCGGAAAGCCCATGATCTTAAAATGAAACTCGAGCGGATTTGTTAGTTCAATATCTGAACCAGTTAGGAATACACAAAATGAAATAACGAAACTTATCG